TGCTTGCCCACTAATGCCTCTGCCGGTCCTCCTGATTTCTGGCCTGCTCTACTGAACCTCCTGTATGCTATCGATTGCCTTGTGCATCCTCTGGCTGTCATTGCTCCGGATCCAGATCCAGCGTCTCTTTGGTACTCTCGTACTGGTTGATCTGACAGGGATGAACATGTTCCATTGTTGTTTTCTACGTGCGGCTCCTCGGTGGTAAGTCATTATCAAAGTTCCCATCCGTTGGTTGTCCCTCGAGATCTTCAATGTGAGCACTATGGAATTTGAGGCTTTACAGACTAAAATTCACGGAAAAAAAGAATAAAAAAACAGTAATGTCAACTTGATAAAGGTATATTTTATTATCAAACTGACAGGTGTAAAGTAAACTGAAGTCTCTCTACTGGCCAGGTAGATCATCCTTCTTATATACTATAACAATGGATAAAAGTTCTGTTAATTAGATTGACAAGTAAGTCAACTCAGATCAACTAATGTCTAATCATGCTAAAAGACAACTCCAGCAAGCTAATCATGATTTAGCTCTATCTGGATGAATAATTAGACTCTCATCCTAAGTACCCTGATCTATCCTTTCCATAAGGATAATTAATATCGATCTAGTAGCATGTATCCGATAGGTACAGTCTTCTTAGTCTATATTAATAGTACATATCTGAGTGTATATCGCTAAGCATACATCTTTAGCATGTATCTGGATATATGGCATGTCTATAGCATATCGTATGCATGTCTATAGCATGTCTCATATATAGTACAAGTCTGTAGTACATAAAGTATCTGTAGCTAGTATCACGGATATAAGCATGTGTCTTATAGCGTGGATCATGAAGTGCACATCTGAAGCAACAAGCTCATATTGCATCAATCTTGGTGCCTATCCAGATATGGTAAACATCCGTAGTCAATGTCGGAATACAAGTATAAGTCTATAGTGCCATCCATGTCCGTGGTGCCATCTATAGCCTATATCTTATATAGTATGAATCTTATAGTACTAGCGTATCTGAAGTCCATATCTTCTCATAGTATAAATCGATATCGTACATCTAATCCAGCGTACATACAGTTTATATCTAAATCTGGTAACTGGATGAACTGTCGGAATGCAGATCATAGTGGATGTATTCCACAAGCACCACTAGTCTCCATGTCCTGCACTCTTGTCACTGCATTTTTTGTCCTTTTGAAAGTGCTCTGGAGGATTTTTTTAGTTACTTGTTCTATATTTGTTCTTGAAATTAGGCTATGCTCCCATCGAGTGCCTACTAAATTTCATATAAATAAAAATCAATCTTAAACTGAGCCAAGAAGGCATTTTGATGAATATTTCATATTGTTTATTTTTCAAGTAGTAACAACCTATTTTTCAGGTCACGTGGGTGTCTGATTATGTTCTTTTATCTGTCTGTGCGTTTGCTCAGGTACGATCCGGTGCAGTGTAATATCAGTTGTAAGTGTAAAAGGCTGACATAAACACTCTTCAATAAACTTACCTTCCTTCTGTTATAAATCTATTACTACTATATTTATATTGCTGTTCCATATAGACATCCTTCCATCTGCAGTACTAACTATACTACCACCTATAAGCCTTAAGCTGTGTTATAATAGGTACATAACGGTTATGACATCTTGTTACGATGATAAAAAAAATTTCGTGGTACTGATTTCAAAAAGCGGCAATTGAAATTAGAGCCTATCAGAATCCTGTTCCTGAACCGACGTTCAAATAGGTTACTCTCTACATTTTTTATTTGGCTTATATATTTTGATCGATACAACACATTTGAAATAAAGTGAACTTTCTTACGTTTAAATCTTATGGGTACATAACTGTATATATACATTTCATCGCTGAGATACTGTCTACATCAAGCTTATTGCAACACATCAGCAACTTGAACAGCTTTAATTACTTGATTTTGTCTCGGGATCAACTATTACTGCAAGATCTTCCACCCATTTCGTTACACATTTCACAAAACTAGCACCGCAGAGTATCAGAAGAATATTGTGTCAAGCAAACGTATATTACGATACATATTAAGAAAGTTTGAATATCACGTGACCACTGTTAATTTGAAAGAGGTTTCTTTTTTTGTTGTAATTAATAATTAATAAATGGAAATTATTTGTAGTAGCTCTACTTTCATAAGACGAGAAGACTTAGAATGTTTAAGGTTCTTCTGTTGTTAACTAAGTTGCCGAAGTTGACATCCATAGAGAGAGCGGAATCTTCACTATATATGCTGCTGTAAAACATTCAAAAAAAAGTAGACTAGCCAATCAAAATTTTAAAGAATTGTGCGCCATAAAAGGTGAATAAAACCACCAGCAAAGCCAGTAATGGAGAGAGGGTTTGGGGGAAGAACATAGCGCGTCTAATTTAACACTTGATAGCATTGGTTTATAGGGTAGTTTTACCGTAGCAAATTAAAGGTGCAAAGCCATGACAACTAAACATCCAACACAGCATTTGATAGCATTGATTTATACGAGGGTTTGATTGTAGCGAAGCGAATATGCAAAGCCATAGTATCTAAGCAGCAAATTTGGGTTTTCATTTCCATTGTTATTAATAAGCTTACCAGCAACATAGCGCATCAAAATTTGCATGAATTAGCTTTACCACCAAAATCAATATATCTCCTATTCAAATTAAGAATTGCTCAAGCTACAGAACTGCCTTTCCAGTAAGTTGCAGCTACCAAAGATGTGATTTATGGCGTCTCAAGAAACTCTATAAAGCAATACCTAACCAAAATGGGCAATTTTCAAGCCTTCATATCTTGACATGTAGACTTTTCTGAGCCACCGGAATAACGCCAAACAATTGTACTTGAGTAGTAGGAACATTTTGACACCTTTGCTCAACTTTTTGGGCCAAAAAAAAACATGGTCAAAAATCGACCAAAAAGCATGAGGGGTACCTCATGGTTTTCTTCGAAAATCAAACGATCGCATTTTTCACCTTGAAAATGAAGACTTTTACTATGGTATATATCAAATCAAAATGCCTCTCTCGATCCAAAGCAACCTCTGAAACCACTTTTATGAGGTTTTCATATGCAAAATATGGCTATTTTCGCTAAAAATCTCATTTCATATTTTACCAAATTGCTCAGTAACTTCATTCAAAATATCTATTACAATTAGCACCATTGGAAGCGCCTTGAAAAGTACTACAAGAATGTATTAGGAAGCGTAGGGTGATCATTACAGCTTATATAGTCGAATCTCACAGAATAGATTAAAGAAGTCGAAAAAAGACAAAATCTGTCCAATCTTGAGCAGAAAAAGTAAACTGAGTTTGAATAAATTTTGGCGACGGTATTGCTGCAGGCTGACCTAAATGCCTTCTTTCTATGGATGACAATGATGATTGCGATGCTGATTAAATGGGGATCATGAAAGGGACAATTGCTTAGCGCAAATACCTTTTTTGGGAAGCTTTGCCTCATGAAGGTGTCTTTTGCAATGACAATATCTCAAAAAAGTCGCTGTAGATTTTACACAAGTCTTGTATTTGCGCATGATCAGCTTTATGTCGCCATCTTATTAAGAGCATCAGCAACAGTGAATGATATGGTAATTCTATTATCAGAAAATGGCGATTGTGATGTGCAGATGCTGCATAAAATTTAAATTTTCTTTCATTTTGTCTCAATAATAGGCTTCGTTTTATATCAGTGTAAGCAAAAAGGGTGCTGAGGAAGATACCTCCTCTCCTCCTCCTTCTGGTTCTGATATAACCTTTCTTTTACTAAATAATAATTGGTTGTTTAAAATCTATCTACTTGATATACCAAAATGTTATAATATCTGATTTAAAATGTTTTTGGTGAGAGCCTGCAGGGCGACGCCAACATCGAGCGTAGCGAGATAGATTGGCTAGTTTACAGCATACCTTTGAATGAATCACAACAACCATTTTCCGCCGCGAGGAGTGGCCAATTTGTTGAACGAAGATCAGGCACACAACATATCCTTCGCTCCCAACCTCCTATCGACCATGGTCGCTTCTATAATCCTCGCATTAGCATAGCTAACTGGAAGACCTTCTTGCGCACGCCAATGGCTCCTCCTGCTCGTACACTCTGGTACCGCCTATTACAACAGAAACTATCCAACAAATCTTCCTTAGCGATGATCCCCGGGATCGTTGACTCTGATCGCTGCGTCTTCTGTAATCAAGTTGAAACCGCCGAGCATCTGCTCATTTCATGTCCCCACAAACAGGACATTTGGCGCCCCATGCTTCACTTATACCTTCGCAACTCGGATTGTTTCTCCTTGCATCGCGTCTACACCGATCTCTGTCACCTCACCCTCTCTTCCTACCTTTTCCGGCCGTCCATAAACACCATCTCCATCCTTGACTTCTTTTCCGTCGTGCTCTATCAGGTATGGAGAACCCACTGGCGCCACCACTTCGATGGGGTTCCCCTCATCCCCCAGCATGTGTTTCCAAGCATCTACAAGGAGTTAATCATACTAACCAAACAACATCAACATTAATCTTTTATTCGTTATTATTTTGAGTTGTCCCTGCCCTGCACACACCTCAATCCACCCAATTTGATGAGTTTTATTTGTTCCGAATAAATAAAATCTTTCATCCATAAAAAAAAAAAAAAAAAAAAAAAAAAGATCAGGCACAACATAGGCGTCTACTAGTACCACGCATTTAAAAAGCATTCTCTATTTAGCTGTATAGAGCTTAATACCAGTTGATTACGGCATAGGAAAGCGCGCTTGTCGTCAAAATAATACAACACTTTTTTGTACCACTCTTTAGAACATTGATGATAAATTGCCAAGGCTTGTTGCTGCAACACAACATGAAGGGGCTAAAAACTACCTATTTTGTAATACAAGCAGTGCATCAAAAAGGGACGTGCACAATCGATTGTGATTAATTAAGCAAAGGAATGTGCATATGATTTATTTATGATACGTAGAGTGAGTTATATAGCAATAAATGGGATTTAGTTGGAAGATACAGTGCGAATGTTTGAAGATTGGTCCTGTTGATTTTGTTCCCTTTTCACAAACATCAGCATGGCTTGAGCGGCTGCATTTGTTGCCGATACAGGAGTCCTTGGTGTTCTTTTGTCGTTTTCCTCCATTATCATTTGATTTGGAATTGAAAGTGACAATCGTAGTTGGCTTGTCCTTGTCCAGTCAGGGCTCACATCATCTCTTAGATTAATATCGGTGTCCTCATCCTCTTCTCCATCATCTTCCAGTAATGTTGGCTCTTTTGGCATTAAATCACTATCTTGTCTATGTGAAGCGGTAGGCGAATGCCCTCCTTCTGTCATAGCAATAGCATATGATAAATAATCTAGTGAGTTTTTGACATTGGAAGGTTCGCCATTTAAGTTATCTGGCACAAACGAAGCATCAAAAGAGGAAATGGAGTGATTTCGGATATTGGTTGTTGGTAGTGAAGCTGGCTCTGGGGGATAGGGAATTGATTTCTTATCATTCCATGCATCTTTGTCATAGTGATGAAAAAAATATGTTTGTTGTTGTTGTTCTTTAAGTTGCTGTTGCTGTGAAGCGAAGAATATAGTGTCTTGGCAGCTGCTTCTGGCTGTTGCATGTTGATCTTGATGTTTTTTTTGTTGAGATTGTGCTCGAGACTCGTACTTTAGTTTTTTAGATTTGGTATATCTTGCACCTGAAGCGGGTATATATGAGCGTTTATCAATGATATCTTGCTGAGTGAACCGAGGTATAGGAATTTCTTTAATTAATTGACGTTGTCTTTGTTTCCAAAAGCATTCAACATCTCCCAGTGAGTTTTTCTCCCAGCCATTTCGAAGCTTGAATCGAGCAAAACCTAAGCGAGTCCTCAAAGATTCCAAATGCTGTAGTAAAAACAAGTAATATGATTAGTTCTGTTCCTTTTATTTGATATAGTGAATGCTAACCTTGAGTATGTCTTTATTGTTGCCATTGACAAGCACAGGCAAATGTTCTGATAGGTAGTTATGATTGCTGCTATTGTTGCTATGCATGATTTAAAACGAAAGTTAAGGAGATCAAATGACTAATCGAAAAAGAGAAAGCTAACTAAAGAAAAAGTCGTTTGTACATGGCATGATGAATAGGGTTTGCTCCCCTTTTTTTCTCTGATTTTTTGTACCATAAATGAATCAAGTTTGTTCTGGTAAACCGCGTTTGGCCCGCGTTGCGGAGCATCTGAGCATCGCGCTTTTCAATTATTTTTTTTTCTCAAAAGGATACATTTCTCGACCAAAAAAAACCAAAAAATCATCGCGGTCTCAAGTTCTTCGATAATCGACATTCAAATGCTTCTGACAACATGTATACTTTTTTTTTTTTTTTTTTTTTTATAAAAAAAAAAAAAAAAAAACAAGAATAGGATCCTACGCAAAGAGACATGTATTACCACAATGTTGTTTTCCAGACATTTGACAAACGAGAATGTTGAACCGAGAGTTGATTTTACTTTATATAAATGAAGGATTTAAGTGAATTGAAGAAAGAATTTGTCAATGTTGGAGATAGCAGGTATACAATATTACGTAATTTAGTTATCAGCCAAGAGAAAAAAAAAAAAAAAAAAAAAAAAAAAAAAAAACCAAGAAAATACTACTACCACGGGCTTGCCTGCACAAGTAATTTTGGCATGGTTTAATTAATTAGTAGGCGCAGTAGCGCCATATGCAACTCTTTGAGGTTCATCAACAGCGACTCTTTCATAACGAAGGCCTCCTGATTCAATGTCTTCAATACGTTCGTTGTACTTATGTACAATGTAAAAGCCGTGGATGATACCAGGAATAGCGCCAAGAGCACAAAGACAGATATTGATCAACAAATCAACGCTACATCCAGTTTTGATTCCTACTGCAGCAGGAGGAAAGAAGAAGGCAATAATGAACAAGGCAATGTCTCTACCAGTGTAAGCAGCCATAATAAATATATGTATAGACTAGAGAAAAAAAGATACGAGAAAGAAAAAAAGAAAGAAAGGATAATTTTATTTATTTGTGTAATAACCTCTTTTCCTCCTGCTTACTGCTACGCCAATCCCAAGAAATTCACTGTTTCTGCGTACGGTCAACCAACTTCGGTTGCATCTTACCTATTCATCTTGTTAGGGCAATCATCCAATTAGATTGAAAATCTCTTGCTATAGGATCAAGCCATCCAAAATGTAGAATCTCCACTAAGAGGTAATTTGGAGAATTACTAAACAAATACTTGGGAATTACTCAAAAGGCTTTGCTTGCTTGTTAAAGACAGCAATTCTACTACGCGGAAATATTCTCGATAGAAGTATCCGAGTTACTTGAAAATTATAAGCTGCAATCGCTCCAAATCCCTGAGCCAATCTAGGATTATCCATGTTGCTACCTGAGAGGCATTCAGATCACTGTTGGCATGAAGTTAAGTTTAACGGCAGACTTTTGCTACTCTGAGAGACTGATCGAAATGTCTGTGATTGTATAAACCTGCTTGACATGAGAAGGTACTGATTTATAGAAGAAAAGTGTATCAGGCTATAAATTATGTCAAGGGCTTCGTATAGGACGAAACATATCGACCTCAAATGCTTGAATACTTTCTGTTTCTGCAGCAAGATGTGCTCATGATTAGGCCAATGTAACACATGTATCTCACTTTCAGATCTCCAGCTTGGAGTGACAGTCCGCTGCTAATAAGCTTTACAAAGATCAAGGTTGCACTTGTCAATCTCATCTCCTATTCATCAAGATCTAGGATTTTGATGTCTTTGCTCAAGCATACATTAGAATAGGGTGTCAAACTCTCTGTACAAGGTGTATATATGTAACCTTAGCAAAAAGAACACAGAGTTTACTTTAAAAAGTCAATTTTAAGAACATGGCAAGTGAGAAAAGGTGATTCGCATTGTAGCCAATGACATTTTTCAAGATTTCAAATTGTGCAAAGCTTGACAGTGTATGATCTAATTGGATTAGATCTATAGTCACAAGCGGGCAAGTAGACACATCAAAGAAGTGATTGACACACACAAAGCAAAAGAGTCAACATCTCTGTAAATTTTCCCATCTGTATCTTCTTTTCTCATTATTTCACCGCAATATGGAAGCAGAAAAGCAATACGATAAAATTCTTGTGAAGAACCTGGCTCTAAAAAATGTGGCTGGTGTGGAAGCATGGCAAAGACTCAAATCACAACCTGTCGTTATTTCTGTTGAGATCTACACCGACATTACTGCAGCTGGTAATACTGATCATGTCACCAACACAATTCACTATGGCCATGTTACCAAGGCTATCACAAAACTGGGCGAAACTTGCACATTCAGGTCTCTTGAAGGTTTAGCTCATGCTGTTGTCAAACTCTGTTGCGTCCAATTTGGTGCTGCCAAAACAAAGGTCACCGTGGAACAACCCAAAGCTCTATTGCATGCTGCTGCCTCTGGTGTAAGGTTGACTAGAGGGATTGAAGACTACCAAAATTGCGAGAAGGATGTGGTAGAAACTACAGGTGAGGTGTCTGGATTAGGCGTGGCTGATGAGATCTTTGTGAGAGATTTACGTCTTCACACGATTGTCGGTGTCAACCCTTGGGAGAGAGAGGAGAAGCAAGTTGTTGTAATCAATTTGGTTGTATACCCATCTTTTTTGCCTTATGGAAAATTCGCTGACTCAGAGCAAAACAAGTCTCACAATTTGCGCACTATCGTACGTACCTTGACTCGCCATATCGAAGCATCCGGTTACAAGACCATTGAAGCATTTGGCGTCACTGTCGCTCGTCTAGCATTGGAGAAATGTCATGTCAACAAAATCTCTGTCCGTGTAGAAAAACCAAGCGCCATCCTATTTGCTGATTGTTCTGGTATCGAGGTTACCCGTGATAGAGTGTGGTTGAAGCAGGTCATTGATGCCGAGGAAAAGGCAGGCGAGAAGTTTATTCACTATACCGGTAAGCTCAACTTCAGCAAGGAGGTCCCTGCAGACTATACCCAGACAGCATACATTGCTTTCGGATCCAATATTGGTGATCGCGTGGATAATATCAATCAAGCACTTGCATTGCTCGAATCTGAATGCTCCAGCGTTGTGCTCGACACTAGTTTCCTGTACGAAACCCCTCCCATGTACTATACAGAACAGCCTGCTTTTCTGAATGGTGTCTGCAAGATTACCACTTGCTTGGAGCCTCACGAACTCCTGGCCAAGCTGAAAGAGACCGAGAATACATTAGGACGCCTTCCTAGTTTCCGAAATGGTCCTCGCCCAATTGATCTGGACATTTTGTTTTACAACGATCTCGTGCTCAACGATGGCGAAACGTTGATTATCCCTCACAAATTGATTCAGGAACGCGAATTTGTACTATGGCCACTTTGTGATATCGCTAGAGACATGGAGCATCCGCGTTTGTTCAAAACCAATGGCCAACTCTTGTCGCAATTACTGAAGGTCACTGCTGAAAGTGAAGGTGGTCCTCTCAAGATTGACAAGGTGGCTCCTATTCAAAAGGGCAAGCTTTGGCGTTGGAACGATAAAACTTACGTGATGGGCATCTTGAATACAACACCTGATAGCTTTTCAGATGGCGGCAAGCACAACGAAGCCAAGGCCGCAGTTGCTGCTGCTTGGCGCATGAAGGAGGAAGGAGCAGATATCATTGATATTGGCGGTATGTCTACTCGTCCAGGTGCTGACGATAGCTTCCCTGAAGAAGAAGAGATCCGTCGGGTGGTTCCTGTTATTACTCAATTGAGGCAAGAAGGGTTTGATTTGCCTATTTCTATCGATACATTCCGAGCTTCTGTTGCCGAGGCTGCTATCAAGGCTGGTGCTAACTTGATCAATGATATCAGCGGTGGTGCTCGAGATCCCAAAATGCTGAAAACTATGGCAGAATGCAACGTGCCTGTCTGTTTGATGCATATGCGTGGTGATGCTCAAACTATGATGTCTAAAGAAAACACCAAATACGAGAACGACGATGTTGTGGATGATGTTTCCCATGTATTGCACTTGCTGGTTCAGAGAGCTATTGCTGCTGGTGTTCATCGTTGGAATATCATTGTTGATCCTGGTGTGGGATTTGCCAAGACTGCAGACCAAGACTTTGAGCTTTTGCGCCATTTGAAAGACATGTCTCAGGGCCAAGATTCTTTGTTACGAGGACTTCCTTCTTTGGTGGGCATTAGTCGCAAAAAGTTCATAGGTAGCATAACGGGCGTAGATGAGGCTGAGAAGCGAACATTTGGCACGGCTGGAGCGGTTGCTGCCTGCGTTGCTGGCGGGGCCAACATCATGAGAGTGCATGATGTCCGACCAATGTGGGAAGTAATCCAAGTATGCGACACTGTTTGGAGAAAATCAAAGTAAAACAAGACGAGACGAATCAAGACAACAAAAAGTACCATAGCCAACCTTTTCAAAACTGTACATACATAATAAATCTGGGAGCATTTTGAGCTTCTAATAAACATGACATTTAAGCAAGTACATACACCTGTCTCGAAGGCAATATATCCGTGACTGTGAGCAAAGCAAGTTTCTTTGTGTCTTGTATATAAATTGCGCCTTGGTTATCGTATGCTCCTCTTTTGATCATATCCTGTCATATTGGCTTATTTTGCATCTAACGCGACAGTACATTTCATACAACCATGGCCTCCATATTCACAAAAAGACTGACAAAGGAATTAAAAGGTAATTGCATGCCAAACAATGCCTTGGAGATAAATGTCGATTATATAACGCATGATAGACCTCAACACGAATCCGCCTGAAGGTGTTGTAGTGGAAGAGGCAGACAACTTGAAATCGTAAATCAACAAAAGATGAGGAGAATGACTACCGTACTGATGAGTTTCATGCTGTTGATAGATGGAAAATCAAGTTGATTGGAGCAGCAGGGACCATTTATGAGGTGAGTTGTGGGGATAGACTTCTACTACACGATGATTGATTCTTGGTTGATTAGGGCGAAGAATTCAAACTAGAGGTAAATCAGATTGAATACCGAGATATCAAGGGCTGGTAATGATGTGCTTCCCAGTTTCGATTTACTCCACAGTATCCGTTAGAAGCACCAGATGTTGTTTTTGTGAGACCATTTGTGCCTGTTCATCCACAGTAAGCTATCGTATTGAGAAAGAAGCGTTGCGTATTCATCGTTATTTTAACTTTAGTGTAAGGACAGAGTAAATAATTATATGTAACCTCTTGGATTGAAGCGTATTTAATAGATATACTCCAATGGTCATATTTGCCTCAACATTCTCTACAAGGACTGGTCTCCAGTTCAAACAGTGGCTCATGTATGTTTGTCCATTATTTCCATGATCTCAAGTTGTACAAAGAAGGTATGTTGGCATGGACATCAGCGCAGGAAGGGTATTGATGAACAATTAGGAGCTCCCACCTGATAATGATCTATATATCAAAAGTGCGTCAGCGTCGCCCAAAAAGACAGCTTGGGCCTTTCAGGTAACAGCTAAACAAAAACAATCGATTTCTGACAGTTTATACTAACTATTTTGTCCTTTATAGTAAGTGATTGTTATAAAATTGAATTCCCAGTGTAATTTAAATACGTATATTCAACCTTTCTAACATCTTTGTTCTTTATTTTAGCGATGATACAGTGTAATATGAAGAGAAAAACTACCTGCGATAAAAGAAACAATGTAAAAAAGGCTTAATAAATTATGAGTGGTTACAGAATAATATTATACAAAAAGTGATGGAAACAAGATATAACTACGAGAGATTTCTCTTACACGACCCAAGCGAGTGCCTTGCGATACCAAGGTAAAATCTCGTCTTCTTCCTCGTCCTTCTCGATATCGAGATGCGTGACACGACCAGTTTCAAAATCAACTTCCATCAAAGGTACAACCTTTGATTTTCTAATGAGCTTGTAACCAATGTACCATACGAATACGGGCACAAGACCAATGTAGTTGGTAACAAACTTGATGCCATCCCATTCAGGGTAGAAAGCAGTATAGCCTTGGCCAAATATAACAAATGTAGTCAAGATGATGGCAATAATAGCTGAATAAGGATAGGCAAAAGCCCTGTAGGGCAAGTCATCCAAGCTACGGCCTTGAGCCTTGAATGCACGTCTAAAACGGATGTGAACAACAGCGATACCCCACCAACTGATAAAACCACTGACAGCAGTGATACTCAAGAACCAAACAAATGCGACAGAAGCACTGTAGATGGAAGCAAATACACAGGCAAAACCGATGACAGATGAGCAAATGACAGCCCAGTAAGGAGCACCCCAACGATTCAACTTGCCCATCCAACGAGGAGCATTGCCATCCTTTGAAAGACCCAGCAAGGTACGGGAACAAGTATAAAGAGAAGAATTGGCAGCGGATAAGACACTGATCAAGATGACAGCGTTGATAATATGAGCACCAACTTGAATATAAGCAAGCTCAAATACAAGAGTGAAAGAGGCGGTTCCTGGATCGCCATCAGCATTGGCCAAATTAGGGTTGTTGTAAGGGAGACACATGCCCAACAGGAAGATGGTGACAATGTAGAAAAAGATGATACGCCAAAAGGTGTTCTTGATGGCACGAGGAACAGTTTTGGTAGGGTTCTTGGCTTCAGCAGCAGTGATACCAACAATTTCAGTACCCATGAAAGAGAAACCTGCAGAGAGCAGTACATTAAGTGTACCAAGACCACCACCAGCGAAAGCTCCAGGATCCTTCCAGTACTTGAAGCCAATAACACCGGCACCAAGACCACCAGTAGTAACACACAAAGCTATGCATGTAGTTTCAGTAAGAGAACGTCAAGGGTGTCCTTCCACATATCTTACCAATGATGATGAATACAAGAACAATCAAGATTTTAAGAAGAGCGAACCAGTACTCAAGTTCACCGTAGAGTCTAACACCAACTAAATTGACAAACAAAATAAGAAAGATGAAGATAGTAGACCAAGCAGGATCTGGCATGACAGGCTTCCACCAATTGATGATGGTAGCAGCAGCAGAAATTTCTACAATAAAAAATCACGTCAGTTTATGTTGTATTAGCCACTTCATGTCCTGTAGAGTTTACCAGCAGCAATTGTTACAGCCTACAAATGAGAGATTGTGTCAATTACGATAGAATATCAGTGATGCGAATACTATGAACTTACCCACTATCAAGCCAGGATAAGCCAAATGGATAGATTATATAAAAGAAAAAGTGAGTACATTATAAAATCTAAATATCCTTATTTTCTCTTACAGAAAGCCTAATTCAGAGCATTAATTTACTTGATCTCTGGATCAGTCATGCAATGCACTTACCAATAATTCCAACCGAGAGCGAAGCCAAATGCGGGGTCAACGAATCTAGTAGCATAATGGTTGAAGGAACCGGACACTACAAAGACATGAGTATGATGATGAACTAGTGCATATGCTATTACACTGTACCAGGCATGTAAGTAGCCATTTCACCGAGACAGGTCATAAGACAATAGACCTAAAAATGATTGATATGAATTCTTGAGTGTTCTGTTCTCTCACGATATCTAGAGTGCATATCTGGACATGTGTATTACCATCAAACCAACTTATCGAGGGAAAATAGTGAAGTTTAAAAAGAGAATTGTGAGAAAATAATATAAAAAGACATTGTTTGACTAAACATACTAACACAGTAAGCGATCAAAGCACCTGCAGGACCAGCCTGTAAACAATAAACATTAGCGACAATCCTTGTGACAAAATACTCTAGACTACCTCTGAAATATTTTGACCAGAGTTCAAGAACAAGCCAGTACTATATCAGATATTAACAACATGTCAAAGTAAGCAACGCTATCATAGTTACCCAATACAACCACCAAGCGAGATCATCTGAATATGACGAGCGTTGAGGCCACGATGAGGTTGGTTCAATTTAGTGGTTTGCTCAAAGTTTTCGGCAGGTATACTCTCAAATGAGAGATCAGTTTGATCATAGGCCTCGACCTTCTCATTGTCGAAGATTCTCATGGGATCATTGGAATTGTTGTCCATTGTTGGTCTCAATGTCCCTTGCTCCGCACGGATTATTTTGTGGTCAGGATTATTATTCTCCATAATTCAACTTAACGAAAATGAATAAAGCAGAAAAAAAAAAGAAAAAGAGATGGTTCAACCATCAAACAGGAATAGAAAAAACTTTTCCACTGGTAAGACGATTGATCTAGTATCTTTCGGTTCTCCCCGTCTCTGAAACTCAAGTCCGATATCCAAAGAGAATTGCTGATAGATAGGAAGAAGCCATGGCTTTTTATGCCCCGGAGATAAAGGCATTTACACCGTACAGTTGGAATAGCGAGAGAGAGAGAGAGAGAGAGAGAGAAATACAGATTGTAGATGCGCAATGTACATTCCCAATAGCCAGTATACTATAGTTGGATGCCAACCCTATTATTGAAAGCTTTGGATCAAGAATCTATGGAAGTAGATGTTGATTTTATGATAGAATGGTGAGAAGTATCCTGGGAATCAAAGAGTCTTTTTTAGACGAACCACCCTGATGTACCTTGAGATGTTGAACATTTATCTCCTCTCTATATGCTGCAAATAGGATAGTCTCCATCTCTTAAACAATTGATATCTATTACTGTTCTATGGCGCTCTATTGCTTTTTTCTCTCAAACTAAATTATACAAGTGTACACAAATCTTTATTTTTCTTACTACGCTACATTGACCAAAGTAATAACTGACATTTTTTTTTTGTTGTAACGAGAAAAATCAACCTAAAATGGACATTACTTGTATTCTTTGAGATGTGAGCACGAGATAAAGTTTGTCAGATCTACACTGTTTAGGGAATATCCGGCCATTCAATCTCAAATATCTTGTGATCACTGTGCTCTTTTGCTTGTGAGAAAATAACAAATCGCTTAATCGTTTATATGTCTGTCCTTCAAGGCACTTTGATCGTCGTTTTTTTAGGGTCGCTGTTGTAGACGCAATTGCAGAATGCAGTACGAATAATAGAAAAACACACTCGCGCCAAGATCTCGGATTGTTAATATGCAAGCAACCAATTGGAATGTGCTATTCGATGTTGAATCCTTTAAAGTATGTCGTCTAGGTTAGTTTCAAAGTTGGGAGAAGCTACTTGGCGGCACCTGATTAGAGTATGAGAAGTTGTATAATTTTAATAAAGAAGACTCAAAAGGTTTGCTACTAAATCAAGACGAAGCGTAAATCCTTATGCTAAGCTGTGTCATTTTAAGATGATCTGGTTGCTTGATATTCATATCAGTTGGCATAATCAAATTAAGTAGTAAATCATTGCACATTATAATACAGAGCACCTTTTGAATAGCTCTTATGTCACGACTAGATCTAAAAGCAACAGGAACCAAAAATAACGTGAGAATATTGATGATAGGTATTTTGGCATGAATTGCAGTGGTGAAAATATTGTATTGCATTTACTTGGGCTCACATTCAAAGCATGATAGCCTGCTGAAATGGGTGGACATTTTTGCATCTCGCATTTGCATGAGTAATTTGTAACAATTGAACCTATCATACTAAAAAATACGCAACAGAAGTATATAAAAGTAGCCAGGCAAAGGTATAGTACATTCCGTTTGTAGTGATTTTCTCATAGGCTTCCAATAGCGTCAATTACCTTCATATTAGGCAGGGCATCATGTTTGGCAGACACCACCAAAATCCTATTAGTCTCCGCTTTTGAAATTATTCCGATTCGTTGATTTTTGGCCATTTTACACTTCTTTAAATAATTTTGTAAGATTCGACTATATAAATTGTGTTAATTATCCCATGCACCTTTAAGCTTTCTTGAAGTATTTTTCAAGGCGCATTTAATGGTACTGATTCCGAGGGGTGTTTTGAATAAACTTTTCTCAAAAAGTCGGAAAGTATGAAATGAGGTTTTTGGCCAAAATGTCGAGATTTTATATACGAAGGTCTCACAAATAAAGCTTTAGCGGTTGCATTGGATCAAGAGGAGCATTTTGATTTAATATATGCCATAGTAAAAGTTTCGTTTTTTGGCACGAAAAACCCCCATCGTTTAATTTTTGATGATATCTTTTTTTTGGATGATATTGTTTTATTAGGGTAATAATTAGAAAGAAGACAAATGCATCAAAGAGAAGGACAAGTGTATGCGAGCAAAGTGACTTGCCATATATAAAGCTATTATGATAAATCTAGTAAGAAAGTTGCTTAAGATTTGACAATTTTAACACTTCGGTTCTGATTTGGCGGCTGGTTTGGATTGAATCAAAAGGCATGTGGTTGTAAAGCTGTTGATAATGGTTTCTCCAGATAATACGCATGATGGTGGCAAAGAGGTCAAAGATTGTGATGTGGATATCCAAGTTGTATATGAAATATCGGTCCAGTTTGAAGAGCGTAATTGATTTGTAGATAAGATGTGGATCTGCAGATTTGGGGTAACCAAGGAACTCGTTGAATGAGGAGTCCCATACATCAAGTTTGTGGACACAACTGATCAGGAGATGTTTGGCGTCTTCCACTTCATAACAGAGTTCACATCTATCAGATTCAGCATGTTCCAGATGGAGTTGCGACATGGCAAGTTTGTTGGAGCTTTGTTTATGTATCATTCGATACCATAGGTTGCGAGCTGAGTAGTGCATGTTATTCTTGTAGAAAGTCTGCCATTGTTGTTTGCTGAGGTGGTTGCTGAAGTTACGACCAACGTCGAGGTTTGCCATGTCCAGCATGACGAAACGGAGATCTCTGTTCGCTAGCTTCAGTATCTGCTGTTGTTGGTATATCAATGAGTCGACAAAGGGCTGTAATTTTTGATAATATCCATGAGGTACCTACCCCTCATGGTTTTGAGCCAATTTTTGGTAATGTTTTTTGATCCAAAAAAAGTTGAGCAAAGGTGTCGGCAAGTAAGTGCTAGATGAGAGCAACTGTTGAGTGCTACTCTGGCAGCCTAAAACGGCTTCTAACGCGAGAAACCACGGCTTAAATGTACCCAGATTCTGCAGTATTAGGCGCATTCTTGACTAAAAGGAGTAAATTAGTATGCTTCTTGCTGGTATATGAAATAGCTACGTGTATATGGATGTAGAGCATCGCACATGAATCAACTCCACAGATACTATGAAGGGTTTCCATGTGTAAGTGGAGGGTCAACATGAAAGTAGTAGCATTCTGATAAGATACGCATGGGCAGTCGGTAATGCGAGGTGCCCCTGTGCAGGTTGGCTTTCACCAAAGTGAGGCGAAGGTAGAGAACTATCCGAAGCATAAATACTCGTTAGAGATAGAAATGAAATGCGACTTATTCCAATTTTACATGCTAATATATTGTCAAACCGTTAGGAGTTATAGTGCTACCAGCAGCTAAGATTGGTCTTTCATCCCATTAATAAAAACTATACATACGACTTGCAAGATTAAACTGTTACAAGAAGCTTGCAAGAAAAAACGAGCATAAGCTTGAAGGAGCACAGACAAATTTTCCTGTTGTTTATTTGGCTACTACCCAGTTAATTCAATTCGCATCGCGCATAGCAAAAGATGGGTCTTGAGGGAGATGAGGAACCTATCCAGCCTGTATCGTATGCGAAGTAACCAATAGTGTATTATAGACATTCGCATATTTTGGTTGAGTGTTCTCCATGTAGATTCTGCTTTTATAGATCAGTTTAGCAATCAACTATTATAATATCCCTTCCCCTTTGAAACTTTTGCGGTCTCTTGAGTGCAAATTCTACTTACAAACTTTATTACTAATAACTTTGATATTCAAAACAATGAAATATTCTGCCTGGCAAATCTAAAAAATATCTTCGTTTATGCACACAGCGGATGCAGGGGAAAAAGTCTACAAATTTGATTAAAAGCATATGCAGAAATGACAATATCGCTCATAAACTTGAGCTAGCTCTGCGGCAGATCCCCACTTGTATAGACTAAACTTGACCATGCATATTTGTGTATGATAGGAGATAGCGTTCCATAAAGCTGTACTATTTTTCGGGTATATAGAATGTTCAAGATATCGAAACTGCCAACACCATGGAGACTCCGGCCAACTTGCATGTAGATCTTTCAGGGCAACCAAGTAAACGTACGATATGCCGCAGGCAGCACAGTACGCTTTCTCGTCAACTTAATAGTGTACATCTCAGAGTTGAAATTCAGAGGCTCTATCTTTAACGTAATCTAATCTAAATCAAATGTATACAACATAAAGACTTATTACTATTGAGAATCAAGCATTTATGTAAATTATGTACTCTTTTTCTGATATTTTTTGTGGATGACAATGGTTAAAAGACGAGGTTATAGAGGAAATATAAAAGTATTTATGTAAGGAAATAGAAAACAGTATGTAAAAAAAAAATTTTAAAAAAAATAGGAAATTTCAAAATTCTATATAATTGTTTATGAATTATTGTTGTTCAAGACTTGAGCAGCATGGTTGGTTTGGACAGAGGAGAAACGACGCATCTCCTTGGCATCCATGTTCTTGCCCTTACCACTCAACAACTTGCTAGCAAAATTTTGAGGACGCTCCATTGATCTGAGAGACTTGGTACGGTTAGCGTAGTAACGAGCAGAAGAAGTACCAGAGATGGCAGAGGCACGACGAGATTGACCAGCCATGGGAGTCTTGGAGTTCTTGAGGTCGTTCTTGGGCTCAAAGATAGCTCTCATACCAAACTTGATGAAATCCATAGGGATGAACCAGATGATGTTCCAGATCCAAACAATACCAGCCCAGTTCCAGCCACAACCAGCAATGTTGGTGAAAGGCCAGTCAGCGTAGACAGCAATGAAGGTAGCGACCAATTGAGCAACGATGAAAGCACACATCAACATAATGGAAGGTCTCTCAGAGAAGAAGAAGCCACGAGAACGGGTAATGAAAATCAAAGCTTGAGAAATGGTGGAAACTTGAAGATAGATGACAGAGTGATAGATACCGCTGTTGACATACTTCTCTTCGGCACCAGTTTCAGGGTTGAAGATGTGAGGGAGACTGAAGTGAGATTCAAAGAAGTCAGTTTGGATAATGACGGCAAAGAAGGCAACAGTGGAAACGGTGAGGTAAAGACCATAAACAATAGCATAAGTGAAAATTTCTCTCAAGTTCCAAGAATCAGGGTAAGGAGAGGGCTTGACACGATCAGTAGAGATAGTCATGATAGTACCATCGTTAAGAATAGCAAGAATCAAGACCATGAAAGGAGGGAAGTTGTATTGGAAAGCGAAACAGAGAATGGCGAAACCGACGACAACACGAATAGTAACGGAACAAGTATAGATGGAGTAGTTACGCATACGTTGGAAAATTTGACGAGAACCAATAATGGCTTCAATGATAACGGAAAGACCAGGTTCAGTCAAAACAATATCGGCAGCAGAACGAGCAGCGTCAGTGGCATCAGCGACAGCAATACCGACGTTAGCCTTGGAAAGAGCAGGAGCATCGTTAACACCATCACCAGTCATTGCAGTCATGTGGCCCATAGCTTGAAGACGTTCAACAATTTCGTACTTGTGTTCAGGATAGACACCAGCGAAACCATCACAGTGCAAGACCATTTCATCAACATCAGAGTAACCAGAGCCAGCAGGAGGACCGTCCTTCAAAGTCTTGGACAAGTACATGTTGTCACCCATACCGAGACGACGACCAGTTTCCTTACCAATGGCGAGCTGATCACCAGTAATCATCTTGACAGAAACACCGAGAGCAATAGCACGGTCAATAGTTTCTTTGGTATCGCTTCTTGGTGGATCATAAATAGGGAGACTGGTTTTCAAGTTTGAGTTAGTCAACAACATTCAACGACACAATACGACAAGTATACTTACAGACCGACCAAACGGAAACCAAGACCTTCACCCTCGACTTCACCAGAGGGAACTTCATCAACAGCGACAGCAAGAGCACGGAGACCACGACGAGCGAATTCATCAACATCATCGTTAAGAGCCTTGATTTGCTCTTCAGTCTTATCACGGGTACAGAGGTCCAAGATGGTGTGGGACATACCCTTGGTGACACGGAGGACCTTACCATCAGCATGGTTCTTGTAGGTAATTTCAGTACGCTTGACAACAGGGTTGAAAGGCTTGAATTCCAATTCCTCGATGTTCTCACGAGCAAGCTTGGGATCAGGCAAGGAGTTGACAATACAGAAATCGATGGCATCTTGGTTTTCAGTACGAGAAGCATAAGCAGACAACAAGATGATATCATCACCAGAAAGCTCAGAGTAGGCCTTGATGGTGGGCTTGTCAACAATCAACTTGTTCAAGGTAAGAGTACCAGTCTTATCAGAACACAAGATGGTGACAGCAGCCATTTCTTCAATAGCAGTGATACGGGTAACAATGGCCTTGTGTTCAGCAAGTTGCTTAGCACCAATAGCAAGAGTAACGGACAAAACAGTAGGCATAGCAATGGGGATACCACCAATGAGCAAGACGAGAATGTTATCAATACCAGTTCTGTACTTGTAATGGAACTTGGGGTACATGACAAGAATTTCGAGAACGATGAAGATGGAGATAGTGCACAGACAGAAGTTACCGATCTTGGCCAAAATAGTTTGCAAGTGACCAACATCTTCACCAGCATCACCAACCAACTTGGCAGCACGACCAAAGAAAGTATTGGTACCGGTACCGATAACAATAGCTTCAGCTTCACCTTGCTTGACAGTAGAACCAGAGAAAACTTCATCACCAGCTTCCTTGGAGGCAGGAAGAGATTCACCAGTAAGAGCAGCTTGATCAATGGAAACTTGACCGTGAGCAGCAATGAGACGACCATCAGCGGGAACAACATCACCCAACTTGATAGAGATGATATCACCGGGAACCAGTTCAGCAGCTTCCAAAGTCTTCCATTCACCATTACGTCTAACCTTACATTCGGGAGCGAGAGAGGCCATCAATGCCTTGACAGCGTTACCAGCTTGACGTTCTTCCATAAAACCAATAGTGGCATTAGCCAACAACAAGAGTACGATACCGATGAAATCAGGGTAATCGGGAGGGTTACCATCACCGTTGGAAAGAGCGATAGATACGATGGCAGCAGCCTCCATGACCCAGGAGAGAGGATTCCACATGAAGCCCAAGAATTGCATGATGGGGTTGATTTCCTTGGTCTCTAATTTGTTGCGACCAAATTTCTCAACACGACGAGCAGCTTCTTCGGAGGTCAAACCATCTGAAGATGTTCTAAAAAAGATGATTAGGTTAGTTTAGCGAAAATTAGCTAAAAATAAACTCCAAAAAAATTTTATCAAATAGATTTCCCGAGAAAAAGCATCGAAAAATAAGGAAATGTTTGAGACAAATTAAGGTACTTTGGATCAGACAATGCAAACAGTCCAGATCAAGAATACCAAAATCGATGAGGGGACAAACTAAAAAGTAATAATAATAATGGCAGACTGAAAAATAAGGGGGGCATTGAAATAGGAGGAGATAACGAGATAATGTAGAAAGACGGAAAAGAAAGAATGATTTCAAAAAAAGGGGAGCTTGTATATATACTTACTGCAAAAGCTGAAAGATGTCTCCAGGTTCCATGGTAGATAAATCATATTTGTCTTTATCGTAAAGTTCTTCAACAGTCAAGGATGTGAGATTGCCGGAAATGTTGGCCTTTTGAGGGACAGGTTGATCAGAAATGACCTCATCGCCTTGTGTTTCGATTTTCTCTGTCATTTTGTAATGATGTTTTGTTATAAGAGAGTGTAAAGATGGTAAAAAAGAGATTAATTCAGCTCTTTTTCTATATTAATTGATAGAATCGATCAGTTAAAAAGAGAAATAGTAAGAATGAATGGGGTGGATGGGTTTTTTGGTGTCAAAAGGAAACGAAAAAAAAATCAAAAAACAAGAGAAAAAGAAAAAAAGATAAGAACCTATTGAAATAGCTGAAGTATTTATATTATTTTGATTACACAAGACTATTACATGTCCAACATCTCAGCACGGGCAGGGGGTCTTTTGCTCTCTGTATCTCTTTCATGTTATAGAAGAATAATCTAACTTTCCTTATTTGTCATAGATTCTCCCTCATCCAACTAGCTGTTCGTATGGGGATTTACAATACTACTGCTACCTAGTGCATTTAGTACAGAGAAGGTCGGCGATGTAATTGTACCAATGGCTGTTTTTTCATGACATTCATAATGTAATGTGCTTGTTTACTACCGCTTTTGCCCGCCAAGTCAGTCACCTTTCCCGTTGATTTAAATGTATATATATATTATACGTCATATTCCATGTATTCACAATGCTGTAGTAGTATAGAAACTGACTATTTGACGTCGATCTCTGCTTGTTTTGCAACCTTTTTTTTTCATGGGGATGCAATGATTTACTTTGTTTAAAATTGTGCCTTAATTGGGTTTTAAATCATATTAATCTCCAGCATGTGCCTCGAAGAAATGACTCGTGAAGCATTTACCCTTTTGTAAAAGCCGTACTAGACATTGAATCTTGTACATGTCTGATTTACATGATGATATAGATAGCATCGATGTATACAATACATATGCTGTGCAAATACCGTCAAAGCAATCCCCTGATTGACTGGAAACATTCTTTCTCATCCTTCTGATCCAGCGCTCCCCTGTTCCCCTTTACTTCCCCTTTACCCTAATTGGTAAATGATCTCCTATTTTTTATATATGTAAACATTTGATTTAGACTTGCCACCCAAAGATATATATAAAAAAAATGCATATAGAATATCGCTCCCCTATTTTATTCAAGTGTTTTCAATTTTAATACGTAGAAAAGACTCGAATTAGCGATTACCCTGCTCTAACATCTGATACGCACGCAAAGGGGAAATGTTGAACCATTACCCAACACCAAAGTGGGGGAACTCGGTTAGAGACTCGGGTCGGTCAATCGGACGGGTCAGCCGCCCAGTGTGCTGTTGAGATGTGGTAATTGCTATACATGTCAATTCATTATTTGGTGTAAAATAATAAAATAATAATGAAATTACAGCGCCAAGTTGAATATCGAATTAGCAAATGCTTATTTGTTTGTGTATAAAAAGGAGCTTGTAAAGTGGTTATGGAAAATTTGGAAATTAATTGTATGCAAATTACTAGTTTTGATTTACTGCTGTTTTGCTCATGTTATTGAATTCTGCTTGTTTATTGCCTTTAATGCTGCACATAGATAAGTATCCAAAAGTAAGGTTATCGTCCAATGGTATCTTATCAAGGCCTTGTTTTCGCACGCGTCACGAAGGATGGTGTGCTTTTTTTCTTTATTCTTCCGAGTAATACAACAGTTAGATGAATGAAAAAATAAACTGATGAAATGATGCTAGAAAACCTGATTCCAGGATTTCCATTACTGATTAAGATGCTTTCATTAAGCTGTAAATTACCAAACAATCAAGAATTCATCAAGGGCCAATACTGAAATACAGGTAGATCAGCGTTCAAATGATTTACAAACCACATAATTCCTGATTTCTTGATTTTCGTTTTCGTTTACGAGATAATCGAGAAGGTGTGCTTCATTGGAGATTTGCTTCTTTCGGTCAAGTCCGCGACCACGTTTTTCTTACAAATAACGTCTCCGCTGCAAAACGGGAAAACTAGATTCTAATGTGAGGGATTATTGTTACTTGCTCGAATCACATTTTATCCCTCAGGTCCAAATCAGATATCAAGAGATTGAGATCAATGGCCAAATTAGTCAAATCTAGCACGGATTCGACACGATTGCTAAGCTCATGAGCACAAGAAGTAAACAAAATACATCTAAAATGGAATAAATCTATTTCTTCCCAATGTTATTGAGGTGTTTATTGCAACATCTCCGTTTCAACTGCAAACGAAAGCACAAGAAATTTTTTTTTAGTTTTTTTTTTTTTCTGATGCAAGTATTTTAACTAAATAAAGACGGTAATGGGGTCCTGAACAACTCTAAAATAGTGGTTATTTGTGCCAATATCAAGCTATGCGGAATGCGTCATTTTGTCTAGTGTTTTTTGGTGTTTTGTTTGTAAATGTTAACTCAAGATATATGATACAAAAAATATTTCGAGATGGAATACCGAGAAGTATAAATGCACAGAAGTAGGTTGATTACCGAGGGGCCTAGTTCCATAGGAAACAAGTTTCATATCTATTTATTTCGCATCGAATTAAGAGATGCTCATCTTGTTACAGTTCATGATGTAATTCTATAATTTGCACATAGAATGTGAAGTACACTCATCGTTTAGCATGCATTCCTCTTTTATATATAAACGTGTGGGTGCTGTCTGCCCAGTTTTGTCCATTAAGCTCTCTTGGGTATTAGCTTATCATGGAATCAAACGAATCAAGTTGCATGATTTGTGTGGGGTCCAAGTGCTACCCTTTAGAATTTCTTGACCTCCATTAAGGTAATGAGTCCGTGAACCGAAAAAAGAACCCACGCCCCGTATTTGGAAGTCTTTGAAACGCCGTGCCTGAATCATTAGGTGAAAATGATGGAATGGCACACATTCTATTTGTTTGTTTTGTTTGCAAAACTGCAATGTGTGTGGGGCAAAAGGGTATATCAAATCGGATTCAGTTTGAGGTTTCCAAAACCAAATATTCTCTTTTCGTAAATGTGATCGATTACATGAACTAGATATTTAATTCCCATAAATAGATATTTTAATCGTCTTGCGATTTGTTTGACAAAAAGACTAATAAAATTGTAATTATTCGGAGATCTTTGCTTTTCTGACGAAAATCACTATGCGGATGATGTACAATTAGCTAATATGTATGCAGTGGTATGAAAACGGGAACAATTTAATTATTCTTCCGTTGCTTAGCAAAAAAAAAAAATGCGCTGGATACACAAAATCAAAAAAGTAGTGATTTCGTATTACATATGACGGTCATTCGTTCAACCGCCAGTTTTCACGGATAATCAATCGAAGGGAAGGGGATCAAATCAGATAATTCACATTAAACCACATGTTGCCTGTTGACTGTTTTTACATCAATCACTCTACCTTCCTTAAATGTGTAACTTAGTTATCGAATTTTTGTGAATCACACGTTTATTCTTTGAGTTTTATCATTCTGAAATGACGCACAAGAACATGTTTGTGTAAATCTTAAAATTTTGCTAGTATAATATTGTAGATCACACATTAACTTCCGCGATTTTGCACGGCATGATCACATACGCAATCTCAAATTTACTTTTCCCGTGTCTTCATATGCATAATGACTCTTTTGAGGGTTGGTTTTCAGATGATTCCTGTATCTTCCAGTGCCGCTTTATTGTCTGCATAATGATCTACCTTCACTGGTGTGGATTTGAAACGAAAAAAACGCTCCTTAATTTATCCTTGAAACGTATTACATAATTTTGTTGTTGGATCTTGGATGTAAGCTACATTATCTACTGTATAATGTATCACATCATGCATGATACGATTGCGTACCTTATCTTCTTGATTCTATCTTCTATATGCACCTAATGATACCAACAAAGGAGGGAATATTGATGTCAATGCTGGTTCGATTCGAAAAAAAAGTAAAAGGGACAAAATTATTACGTAATCAAAATTTGTGAAAAATGTAAAAATAGAAGGTCGCGCCGAGACTCGAACTCGGATGTCAAGATTCAGAGTCTTACATGCTAACCAATTACATCACGCAACCTTTCTTGCTGTCCTTTTTATTTGCACTATATATATCAAAGTATTAAAAAAGATTGGGCTCCGCAAGTCACGTGGAGTTTTTCTGAGCTTACTGATTGGCTGCAAAATTCAGGAACCAAATCAAGTTGGCCCGTCTAAGGCTCAGGATCATAATATTGGTTCACTGTTTACAAGCTCAAATTTCATCAGCATAGGGAACTGCACACTAGTGTTTTTATATCTTCTAGAGAATAATTTTATAGCTTTGGCTTTTGTTTACAAGAAAATGTCATAAAGAAAATACCTTTTAGCGCTCGCTGTGATATCCTATACAGCAGCAGCGAAATTAAAGGAGAATTGATTACTTTTATACAATCATTATATTTGTTGATAAATTTGCAACTGAAAACTGGGGGGGTTTTTTGAAAAGCAAATGCATAAGACATTTTTTGAGTGTTGGCGATTGAACAATCCACTGACTTGGATCTTAACGTGCGAATCATTATTTGTACATTATTACAACAAAAAAAAATTAACCATCATGCACATCTCCTAGGCAATCAACACACATATTAAATGACACTAAATGGTATTTTCTTTGTTTGGCTTCTATCGAGAATTGAGATAAAGCAGTTTACTCAAAAAAAATCAAAATTAACAGCTATAATAATTGACATAAAAGCAAAAACTCTCAAGAAAAAGTGCTAAAGATTTGACAAAGATCGGCCAAAAAAAAATGAAGTTATTGTTAGCCCTTGTCTACTGCGAAGAATTAAAAGTGTAAAAGGCGGATTCCCTATCTAAAAAAGCTTGAATTGATGTTATAAAAAGCAATTTTGCTGCGTTTGGAGCAACATTTATGCTTCATTTTAGCCTAGAAACGTAACATTGCTCTTAGAACCCCCAAGTAGTCAAGCTAAATGGTGGGGCTAAATAATTTTTAGTGATAAACCCTTTTGTCCTTTTTGTGAACATTGGCAGTTAGTATGTCTTAGACAATGGTAGTATAGTTGTCGAGTCATACTGTTATAGATGCTTTGCTTTTGACGGTTGCTATTACCTGTATTGCGTGACGAGACCCTCAAGAAAAAAGACTGCAACAGAACAAGCAGTTGTCTGATTTTGCTATATTCAATGACGGCGTCGCCCTATGAGCACTGGCCAATCTGAAACATATTTCTATTATAAGAGATACATTAAAAATTTATCTTAAGTTAGAAGAGAATGATAGCTCGCACACAAAGTATGGAATGATGTCGAATAGGATGAACAATCTTGCATTTTTTCGTATTAAGTTCGTATATTAATGGGCAATCTATGACAACTGAATCTGTCAAATAAGAAAGCCCGGACCAAAAGCAAACAAAAATACTTATATAGCTTTTTAATTTGCAATCCTCTTCCAACTGGTTTCAAAAACATGAAGCGTTTTTATGATAGACAATAAAGAAATGCATTTTGCCAGCCGAGATTAATTCAATCTTAGCAGAACACTCTATCCAAGATTGGATAAATTTTGAACAAAATCGATCTATTTGATATATTTTGAGATATTTGACTATATAAACTCTGATGATCATCTCATACTTCCTAATGCATTCTAAGAATACTTTTCAATGCGCATCTAATGGTCCTATTCCAAAGAGGTATTTTGAACAAGCTCACTAAGGAATTTTATAAGATATGAAATAGCGTTTTTGACGAAAATGTTGAAATTTTACATACCAAGTTCTTCCAAAAGTAATATCAGGGGTTGCTTTGGATCGAGAGAAATATTTTGACTTATTATGTGCCATAGTAGAAGTCTTCATTTTTGAGGTGAAAAATGCAGTCGTTCGAATTTTGATGAAAATCATGGGTGGTACCTCATGGATTTTGGTCGATTTTTGACGATCCCAAAAAAGTCGAGCAAAGGTGCCAGACAGCTACTACTGGACAAAAGACATTGCTTGGCGCTATTCCGGCGGTCTAAAACGGCTTCTAACTCAAGAAATTGCTGCTGAAATGTACCCAAATTTCACTGCGTTTTACTTATATTCGAGTAGTAAGAGGTAATCTAGGTATGCTGTCTGCCCATACATGAACGATTCTCGTTGGTGCAGCCCTGAAGCATCCCAGAGGAGCCATATCCACAATTAAAATTAGCTCAAAATGACATCTTATGTGATACTGTGAGGTCAAATATGAATTCTTAACATATATCAGTGCGATGTGTGCAATACTATTGTTATTCACAACTACAAAATGCACCCAGCAACTTTGTTATGAGCTTGTAGCCTATGTATGAAGAATCTTTACTGATTGTTAGGGAAAGAGTGAGACCAGGTTCTAGCAACATATGAAAGGGCTTGGGCCTTGCTTTTTATGGCCTCGCTACTGCTTATATAAATTATTTTATATACGAGATTGCATTTAATTTAATATTTGTTAACATTAGTCTTAATGGGGCTTTACTGTAGCCAAGCAAACGTGTAAAACCATAGTGTTCAAGCAGCAAATTCGGTTTCTCATTCCCACTATTAACAAGCTTATGAACAACATAACGCATCAAAATTTGCTTTATCAAGGTCAATATACCTCCTATCCAAATCAGAAATTGCACAAGCTGCAGAACTGCCCTTCTAGAAGATATCAGCTACCAAATATGTGATTCATGCTGTGTATAAAAGCTATAAAGCAAAAATTCAGTCAGATTTGACAGATTTCAAGCCTTAATATCTTGACATGTAAACCTTTCTGAACCACCGGAGTAACGCCAAACAATTGTACTTGAGTAGTAGTAACTTCCTGACACCTTTGCTCAACTTTTTGGGCCAAAAAAAACATGGCCAAAAATCTACCAAAAAGCATGAGGGGTACCTCATGGTTTTCCTCAAAAATCAAACGATCACATTTTTCACCTTGAAAATGAAGACTTTTAGTATGGTATGTATTGGATCAAAATGTTTCTCTCAACCCAAAGCAACGTCTGAAATCACTTTTATGAAGTCTTTATATGCAAAATTTCGACATTTTGGCCAAAAGCCTTATTCCATATTTTCTGAAATTGCTCAATAAGTTCAGTCAAAACATCTATTTTACTTGACATTGTTGGAAACGCCTTGAAAAGTAATCCAAGAATGCATTAAGAAGCATCAGTTGATAATCACAATTTATATAGTCGAATAGAATAAAAAAGATTAAAGAAGTCGAAGAAAGACGAGATTTGTCCAATCTTGAGCAGAAAAAATAGACTGAGTTTCAATGTTTTGGTGCTGCTGCGGGCTAACCAAATGCCTTTCTGATGATGACAATGATGATTGCGATGCTGGTTAAATGGGGATCATAGCATTGAAAGTGCAATTACTTGGCCCGAATGCTTTTTTTCTTGGGAGTTTTTTTCCTATAAATGTGTCTTTTGCATTGATAATCTCTTAAAAAAGTCGCTGTAGATATTATACAAGTCCTGTATTTGCACATGGCAAGCTTTATGTCACCACCTCAAGAGCAACATCAACGAATGTATACCTCCCACTTCTGCCTCTGATATATCATTTTTTTTCTAATAATTGATTGTTCAAAATCTACTTGATATGCCAGATTTTTATTATCTCTAATTTGAAATGTGTTCGGCTAGTACTGTATATAATATATATAGTAATTTTCCTATTAGCTGCTACTGATAGTATTATAGAGTAGAGCAACACAACGGACGGTCCAAGTTACTACTGTAAAGCTCTCTTACCATAACGGGCACTGAAGAAGGTCTCACTGGAAGGCCATGGCTCATTATACAATAGATAATTCACACTGCAAAATACGTGGCTCTAGACCAAGACACGTAGGTAGCTTGTAACTAACAGCTTTGTTTGACTTATATCAACACAGCGTTTAATGTAAATGCAAGAAACAGCACATCATATGGCATTGGCGATTTTTTTTATTCAGAGATTTCTGTAAATATCAAACATATGAATGTTTCTAAAAGTTATTTGAAATTGTTTCTGGACGCTATGTTGAAAAAATGTTAATGCATGTTGACACCGAGAGTGGCAGCATTTGAATTACCATGACAGTAGATCTGACCATCTTGAAGAAAAATGCTCAAGTCAATATTGTGACATTCGTGCCAAGTATACACTTACATTTGCAGCCATTCTTGTGCCAGCAGAGAAACTTCCTGCGAGGATAGCAATGGCGTAAACCTTTCCTAAGTGTGGCATCATCTGCTTAAAATGAAGTTTGAAAACGAAAGAGTTTTTCAACATCTAAAACCAAATATCAAAAACGAGATGATTTTATATAGACAATCCATCTGCTTCTCAGTCCGTTAGTATATTTTCAAGTTTCAAAAGTTTTCCAATTTCGCCGTGGAAAAAGCAGACTTTTTGAAAGTGTGCCAAATGTGATGAAGATAGACACATTGTCTTAATAATCAATGAGTTGCATTAATGAATGCTTCTTGCGCAAAAAATTACACAAACATTCAAACAACTTTAGATTCCGGCGATGGCTTGTTTTTATATATTACATGCAAATATTTTTATTTTTATTTTTACTTTCTTTATCTCTGTCAAACGATAAAGAAATTCAAGACTGAGTTATAGTATCAGATATCAATGCAAGGTCAGCAGCATTTGGAACCTCAACCAAGCGTCACGCCTTTGAATGGGAACGAAATTAACAGCAATGAGTGCGTTGATCAGTCAGTGGAAGGCGATCCAGTAACAGGCATTGATCAACAGCATAACGTGAAGGAAGAAGAGTTTAATCAGTATAATATCAATGACAAGGAGAACATTCATCCAAACAACCAAGACGAAGATATCAGTGCAGAGGAGGAGATCAATGAGAATGATTCTGGGGGTCAGCAGTCTGCGGTGGAAATGGAGGTTTTGGAGGAGGAGATTGAGAAGCACATCACGAAAGAAGCTCGACAGGACGCAATGGCACAAACGGCTGAACTTCCAAAAGAAAAATCAGCCAAGGCAAACAAATCTTTACTATTAGTTCAAGAATTCCACACAGGATTGACGAGTGGCGATGATTCAGGGGAAAGCGAGATAGAAGAGGATCAAACACGAGAGATGAGTGAGAAAGTAGATGTTGGCAACCTCGACGGCAAAGAGACAGAAGACAAACGCCGGCAATCAGTTTATTCGCCTCCGAGACCAGTGAAACCTACATTTGTTGCCTTGAAGGCTTTGAGGCCTGATAATACCGCTGAAGGGGCCATTGCACGCAACAGAAATCTTTCAGAATGTGGATTGTTGTTTACAAGAGACGAATACAGATACTACATGGACAGTAGCATTGTGAACATACCAGCAAACAAAGAGGATGCAGAGTACTATGAAGAGGTCCAAGGGATCCTAGCTATGATTGCAGACAGGGAAAGGAAATGGGAAGCTATGCCAATGGATCAAAGAAAACGAAAAACAAGGAATTCATCATTGGAGCCAGAAGCAAAGAGAGCGAAATCAGACTCGCCGCATGTTGAAGTATTGACATATACTCTACAGCCATACTCTGATTCGGTAATACCAGAGCCTGCGTCAGTTATCTTCGATTCGAAGGAAACCTCGCCTGCTGCAAAATACGATTCATCACCATCGCAGTCCTCAATGACAGCAGAAGACACTCCCCCTCCACCAATTGCACCAATAGCAACTGCCAACTCAAAACCCAAAACCAAGCCGAACCCTCAATTGGCAGTGTTAGACTCCGTGTTGAGTAATATATTGCGAGACTCACAGCAAGCTCAGCAAAAAGCAAAGGCAAACGAAGTTTCCGACTTGGAGGCAGCAGCCTTGGCAGCAGGGCTTGACTTGAATCCTAATGGTGATGCAGCAGATGACAAATGTGGCCCTCGATCAAAGCTATCAAAACAGGAGCATGCGGAATTCTTGAAATACAACGAGATGTTGAAAAAGGTAGATTTGTCAAGCGCAAAATACCGCACTAATCTAATAGCATCCACAGGGAAAGGAAATGCCTATCCAGGATAGAATCAAGTTCGATAGACTATGCTCGTTAGTAAAAGCAGAAAAAGAGCAGTTTCTCAAATATCAGTGTAAATCAGTCATGGAATCTGGGTCCTACAATACTTTGGATCTAAAAGTAGAGAAATTGGTCAAAGAGGTCTATGAGCTGGAAAAGAAGAGAGTGCACGCATACCCAGTAAGTTTGGTCGTTTAATGCTACCTTCCTTTACTAACACATGGTTATAGCAATTTTACAAATACTTTAATATGGTGGAAATGGCACCTAATGCAACATCTGATGCGCCTATTTTGGCTTTTAAGAAATGCCTGTTCATGCAAGGCCAAATAGCGCCGTGCAATCCTAAAATGTACGACTCCCCCAGAAACATGAATCTATTTAGAAAATACCTTGTAAACAATACAGCTTCGCCCGACGAAGAAGAAGAGCATATTCAATACTACAAGAAGAAATTGTTACCAGCCATTGTGGTAGACCCTGTTATTCCCAGCCTGATCAAAGATACCAGCCCTGATGTTATTGTGTCCGCTGAATGTCTAACCGCATTAGTGGAGGTGATTCACAGCATTTCATCTGATGTCAGCATACCTATCTCAGTCATGCAATCAGGAACTGACAAGAAGGTTTTGGTGATGGATCGACCTTTTCCAAGAGATTCATTGACTGCTCGAGCAAAGAATAAGATTGTCTATGACCTGGCATTCAAGAGCCTATGCTTGGACTGGAAAAAGAGGCACCCCATTTCAGCAAATGTATCAAGACCTCCATCACCGAATAGCTACGCAACAGCAGCATCGACAGGTAAAATGGATAATGACGAGGGTAACTCAAGATTGGACGAAAACCTGCAATATAATTTATGGGGCTTTGGTGATATGGACATTGTGATTCGACATCAAGCTGATGGCGAGCTGGTTGGAGTAAGTGAGCATGGTGAGATCAGTATGTGAAAAAGTTTCTAATGCTTGAATTAGGGTGCAAAAGAAAGGAGAGTGTGCTTGACAACAAAGTTGGATTACCAGATACAACCCAATGGATTTGAAGAAATACTGACACCATCTGAACGAGCTTCGCAGTGGATTCAATCTTATATCGGTGGTCATGCCTTTGTGCTTGAGGGAAGAATTGATGTGCTGAAGAATAGGCTTGTGCGAGTGGATCAAAAGCAAATGAAAGATATCATGAGTGATAATTGGAAACCCACTTATGAAAGCGAAATGCTTCGACACACATTTTTAAGACTTCAAAAGTAAGTACGTGCTCCATCCAGCAGCAGTGAGTTATGATACACTAACGTTTTCGTAGAATGCTTGTTCCTGGAAATTATATACTTCAGCATAAACCAGGCGATCGAAACTATATCATCTATCAAGGCACTGACAAAATGGAGAGTACATCTACAGGCATTGATTTGTACTCCAAATATGAGTCTTCCACACTGCCAGCTACAAGTAACCCTGAGCTGGCATTTGTGCCAGCTTGGAACATGGAAGAATCCTCGTCAGAGCAAATTCCATGGACATTTCCAGTAGCACTATAAAAACTTTTTTATTTTACGGAATTGATGAATGATACAAGCTTTTTTTTTTTGCAAAATAAATACAATGTATATAATGTTGCTCTTTAGATATGAAATGCGACGCATTGTGGGCGTTTGTATGGTATAGGCAAATAAGTCGTCTATTTGATTCACTTTTTTAGTTTTTATGCTTCATCATATTAGGATAATTCTACTTACCCACTGCAATATTGATTATTTTGTAAGTCATCGTATGGGTAGATATATGATTCACCATGTCCATTTTGCAGTTGATGTAGATCTGTGGCCACACTGCCATGATGGGCCCAAAAATAGACAGAAAGTTAACGATGCCGTTCGTGATAACCTTCCTTGTCCAGTCTTCCATACACATGTTCTTTAACTGGTGGTAGATCAGCATATTGTAGTGATAGTAGTAGTGATATGCATTGTAGATTGCGAACAGAGGTACCGCAAACACTATCAGGAGCTTGAATGCAATGGTATCTAATTGCTGCGTTTTTGTTTCTCCTTGCTCGACTAATTTATGCTTTCCTCCTGTTGCTGAGCGCTCCACCCTGACAGCAAATCCATAATTCGAGCCCTGCTCTGTCACCCATTCAAATTCATGCAACCAAACATGGTTCCATTTCCATACATTGACACACAAATGAGTGAGTTGTATGCATCCCCTTATTGCGTTATTCGAGAAATCCATCGTATACATGAGTAAGATTGCTTGTATCGCAATGTGTATCATCAAGCTATACACTGATATGCCAATGCGATTGGTCTTTGCTCTGTAAAATCCAATATCGTTCTTGAAAGCAAGCAACTCGAATAGGCCATGCATAAAGCAGGTTAATAAAGTGATACTAAACATGTAACCTTGCTCCAGCACTGACAAACTGTCATCCAATCCCGATTGAGGGCTGTTTGTTTGTTGATCGTTCTTGTTCGCTAACACTGCGTACACATTGAACTTCCATACATTGATACTCTCGAAACGTACAGTCAGCGGCAATGCGCTCAGTGTGGTATCATTGATCGGATACACATCCTTCTTTGTTTGCCAGAAATCGTTAGGAAAGATGATTGGCCTGTAAAAGCTGATGCTTCGGTGGCTGCTGGAGATGGGTTTACTGCTGTTGATAAAGTCTATATATATATATATATAGTCAATGATTCGATGAACATGATCCTCTGCAGTATACATACGTACATTTCAAAGTAACGGGATGAAGTGTATTTCTGCTAATGTAATCTTTCGCGTCGTACACTAGACTGATGGTGATTGTCTGATGCCAGTAAGGTACACTTTTATAGAGTTTCGTGAGTGCTATCAACACAAGGGGAATGAGTTTCACTGTAGACAAAACAAATGGAGATGAACGATACTTGCAGTGACACACATACACAATTGAGTCCATTGAAAACGAGATGTTTGCTGGATCAATTGGAAATGAATCTTTGACCAGAAAGATATGAGCATAATAATGTTGTTTTGTTGATTCAACATTTCTCTATAGGTTATATGCATTAGTAGCATAGAATTAAATAAATCAAGACAGCAACCCTTACAGGTATGAAGAGCTGAATCTGCTTGTCTTGCGAGTACTGGTTTCGCACATCTATCTTCCAGTCTGGCGTCACGTTGTAGTCGCTGAACTGTAGATCCGTAATGATAAATAGGTATAGATTCATCTTGATGTTGTGCTTCCATAACGGAATCAACGACTGTGGCTCATTTTCATTCAGCGGTAGAAATGTGGGGCTATTGGGTATATGTCGAGGCACGGGAATGGTAGTAGGATTCACTAGAATACAGGAAAGCTGTTGTATACAAAACGTTAAGAGCAACAGTTGCAAATGCATTTTAAATGTTCAAAGAAGAGAAACACGAAAGAAAGAAAGAAAGAGAAAAACAAGAGGCTCCCTTTATTATTTATATTTACCAAGCTTCTCCTGAATAGAGTTACAAAACTTTACTGCATGCATTCAGCGTCTGTCACTTCTTCGTCGATCCCTATCACTGCTGCTCTTTTCTCTTGGTCTGTCTCTCTCTCTTTCACGACTTCTATTGCTATATCTCGATGATCGATGGTATCTTCGAGAGGAAGACGATGAATGTCCGTGGCGAGAAGATGACCGTTCCTCTTTGGGTGATCTTGATCTTCTAGAGGAGTGGTCTCTTCGTTTGAAATCGTCTTCTCTGTCAGAGTAATCATCCGTGTCGTACTTTCGGCTGCTTTGCTTGTCATCTCGATGTCTGCTGCTGTCGTCTTTGCTACCACGTCGTCTGCTACTTTCATCCCGAGATCGTTTGCTGCTATCATCGTAGTATCTGCTGCTACTTCCATGAGAGCTCTCCTCACGGCGTCTACTGCCGCTACGGGTACTTTCATCACGATATCTTCTGCTGCTGCTGCTGCTGCTGCCTTCGTCATGTCTTCTAGAATCACGACGAGGAGAACGGGATCTTGAAGAATGTCTTTTCTGATCGTATCTGCTGTTGCTTCTTGATCTATCTCTTGTGCTGGAAGATGAGCGGTTGGCAGCAGACGATGATTTTTGTTTGTCGTCCTCATGCTGATAGTGTTGATTGCTGTTTTGTTGATAGTCTGATCGGCGTCTTGCACCACCTTGATAGTATCCACCACGACCGCCGCCTCTGCCACCACCTCGACCTCCACGCATTGGGTTGAATCCTCCACGCATGCTGTTGTTGCTATTGTTATTGAAAGGCATATTACCACCGAAACCAAAGAACTCTTGTGGCGGAGGCATACCAGGGAAAGGGGGCATGTCGCCACTACCATTTGGATTGAAAGCACCTGGGAATCCGGGCATGAAAGGAGGAGGAGGACGCTGAGACAAGTCCATGTCCATCTCATTGTCACCACCGTTGCTATTACTATTATTATTTCTCATCCAATTCATGTCAGGGGCTCCAAAGCCAGGGAATCGATTATTCATAAAAGGAGGACGTCCCATATTCATCCAGCTCATGTCAGGCATACCGCCAGCAGCATTGAACAGGTCTGGATTAGGAGGTGGCGGGTGTGGATAACTGTGTGCTTGGTTATGAGGCTTCATCATTCTCATTGGCAATTTTCTCTCTTCAACAACTTTATTAGTTTCTTCATCTTTTATAGGCTCTTGCTCTTGTTGATCTTGGTGTTGCTGTTGTTGAAGTGATTCATCGATATCCATTTGCTCTTGCTTCTTCTTGTCGTCCTCCTCCATCCTGACTTGAATGGCCATTCGCAGTGTACGATTCGGGATAAGTTGATCCGCACTGATGTTTTCTTGGTTGCAAAAGGGACAATGGTTCGATTTCTCCAATGTATTAGTTATGCCTACATGTGAGAAGGTGATGAATAAAACATGCATTTATTATGAATATTATCTTTAGGTATTTTATAGTGGTATATATTAAACAAGTCGCAGCTGAACATGATACAAAATCCTTAAAGATAATCCATCGTTTTCTATACCTACATTCTTTACAAAATGACTTTCCACAGCAAGGCACCACAACAGCATCTGTCATTAATTTATCGCAAATCATGCAAGTCAGCTCTTGAGGTTTCTGATTGTTGCCACCTTGATCCTCAAATTGGCTGCTTGTATTGGTATTTCTGTAACTGGCTGTCAGTGGGACGGACATGGTACATCTGAATGTGATGTATACTACCTTGCAGCGCCTGTTCTTTGCACAAACTGTCCTTTAGGCACATTGGGACAGTAGTAGATCCAATGGCCTGGTTGTGAGCACTTGAAGCAAACATAACCAGAAGGTGGCTTTTGCGTTTCGGGTGGGATGTTGGATGCATTGTTGATGTTGTTGTTGTTAGCGGCAGCAGCAGCGGCAGCAGCCATAGCAGCAGCAGAGCTCACGTATCGCTGTGTCTGTTGTCTTTGGAATTGCTGCATCATCATCATTTGCTGCAGGCGTTGTTGGTATTGCACAGGATTCATCATGCCCATCTTCATAACAGACGGATCAAATGGCATGTTATTCATCATGTTTTGTCCTCCACGAAAAGGCGGTTTTCTATCATTGCAAACTCGTTAACAAGTCTCTTTAGGCACATGCTCACGATACATACTGTTGCTGGTCATTGTATCGCTCAGGATTCTGTTGCTGCTCATCGTCCCCTCTAGAATTTGGTTCGTCTGCCATGTTTCTTTGTGATAAATGTAAAAAGAAAAGCCTTCGAAACTATACTAAGTGCAAATCTACACGGAAAAATTGTTGTGTTCTGCCTGCAAATGACGTGTGGTTTAGTAGTCACATTTGGAAACTTGCAGTGTAGTACGTTTGTATTGATGGATATGTTACGTTTCATTGCAAATCGAATTTGCTAATTATTTGGCAGAGCATAAAAGATTCCCTAGGTCATACATCAATCAACTCGTATAGTACATTATGTCTGTTCTATCTAATTTGTCTCTACAATGCGTATAAATCATCAGTTTGACATGCGTATTACCTGACATTGGATTTCATTGGGCGAAGCATAGATGGGATAAGGCCCAAACCGCCAAGAGTTTTTTTCTCCAGTTCTCTTTCTCTTTTAGTTAATTTTACATCAAGCATAAAAGCATGTCTAACGCTGACTTCCTAGCAGTAAGTAGACAAAACCGTCCAAGAAACAGCATTTGGACTCAATGTGGGCAATTAGAAAGCAATTGAAATTGTGAAAAAAGCAACCGAGGAAGACCACAAAGGCAATTACAAAGAGGCATACAACCATTATCAAAATGCGCTCGAGTATTTCATGACAGCCATCAAATGCAAGTATTGTCATTCACCAAAACCTCAAGTAGCGCCTACTGATACATTTGAATTAGATGAAAAGAACGATAGGTTGAAAGATCCCATAAGAAAGCGATTTGTCGAATATCTTGATAGAGCTGAGATGCTGAAAGAGTTTCTAAACGAGCAAGAAAAGAAGCGAAAGGAACCAATAGGTGCCAACGGCGCCTCTAAAAAGTAAGGCAACAGTAGATAATTGGTCTGGCCGGGAAGCTGACAGTCTATGTAGAAAGAAGGGTGATGCTGCATCCTCTAACGACGCTGAAGACGAGGATCCAGATATGAAAAAAATCAGAGCCAGCTTGACAGGTGAGGACTTCGCCTCTGTGCATGAAAAGTGCCATGAATTAACCTCATGCTGAAGGCGCTATTCTCACGGAGAAGCCCAATGTAAGATGGGATGACGTTGCTGGTTTGGAAGGAGCGAAGGAAGCACTCAAAGAGGCTGTTATTTTGCCCATCAAATTTCCTCACTTATTCACTGGACAGCGAAAACCTTGGAGAGGTATTTTGTTGTACGGACCTCCAGGTACAGGTAAATCGTTTCTGGCAAAGGCAGTGGCTACAGAGGCAAACTCCACCTTTTTCTCTGTATCTTCTTCTGATCTCGTTTCAAAATGGCTTGGTGAAAGTGAAAGATTGGTCAAACAACTATTTCAAATGGCAAGAGAAAATAAACCATCCATTGTGTTTATTGATGAAGTGGATTCTTTGTGCGGCACTCGTGGTGAAGGTGAATCAGAGGCATCAAGACGTATAAAAACCGAATTTCTGGTTCAAATGAATGGCGTGGGCAATGACATGGATGGCGTGTTGGTACTAGGAGCCACAAATATCCCATGGCAGTTGGACTCTGCTATTCGTCGAAGGTGAGTTGTGCTGTCTGTTGATTTAAACTATGATTCACGCATACTTCGTTCAGATTTGAAAAACGTATCTATATACCTCTCCCTGAAGCTCATGCTCGTGCGACCATATTTCAATTGAATGTTGGATCAACACCATGCACATTATCGCAAGCAGACTATAGAAAACTAGCTGAAATGACAGAAGGGTAAGGATAGAAAAAAGCGAGGGTTTGCGGATCATGGTATTCAGGTCTTTGCTAGTTATTCTGGTTCAGATATTGCAACTCTTGTAAGAGATGCTCTGATGCAGCCAATTCGTAAAGTTCAAATGGCAACACATTTTAGATGGGTAGAAGCGCCATCAAGGACAGACCCCAACACAACAAGCCGTTATTTGACACCATGTTCGCCAGGTGCTGCCGGTGCTCAAGAAATGACTTGGATTGATATTGAGCCAGATCAATTACTAGAGCCAGACTTAACTGTTCAGGACTTTTTGAAAGCTGTACAGAGCTCACGACCAACTGTCAACAAGAATGATATCATGCAGCAAATCAATTTTACGAACGATTTTGGTAGGTGGGCATTTGTTTACGGAAGGGCAATTGAAGTTTATATATAATCTCTTTTAGGGCAAGAAGGTTAAAAAATATCATGGGTGTTGCGTGACAATAATACAGTCGAATGATTAACTGTCTATGTACCTTTTTTTAAATAAATTGTATCTGCGTCATACAATAAAATTTGCTGCGCTTTCTTTGCAACCTTAGAAGGCTAAAAAAGAAGAAAGTAGCTTCAATAGCCAATATGCCAGACGATAACAGAAAACAAAACAACTGCTTACATAATCAGTTTGCAAGTAAAAATAAAAGTGAAAAGAGTGGGATTTGAACCCACGCCTCCGAAGAGATCACGACCTTAACGTGACGCCTTAGACCAACTCGGCCATCTTTCCTTCGATGATTTGTCGTCTTGATAGATAGATCCAATGGTAGAAGTTAACAAATAACTTAGAGTGTAACTAATAGATTGAGATTATGTTCGAAGATGCTGTTTATTGAATGCATTTACAACTTATATTTATACTATTTCTGCGATCGATAATTACTTAATCAATGGAATTTTCGAGTAGATATAGTACTTGATATAGCAACCGATAATCAGATCAATGTCTGCTGCTATCAGTTTCCAGAACCTTCGAGTATATGCTGGCGCCTTTTAGTCGCTTTCTTCAGATTTGGCTAAACCTAAATTTAGGCACGACAGATTAACACTACGGCCCAACTGATGTTCTCACAGAACATCGATGCGCTCTTTTGGGAACATCGATGTTCTCGTGAGCACCTCGATGTTCCCATATCAGAACATTTGGCTTTACACTGTGAAGATAGTTATCAGATATGCGCTTTTAAATGGTATGGTCAGACTTTTTGAGTTCTTTTGTTTATTTTTCGTACCGAACGCCAATTCGTAGCATCATTATCTACGAAGTTAGAAGCCTCCAAACTTGCTCAATTTGAAACAAATCAGGAGAAAAAATCACGTGACCCGAGTTTCTGGTTACTTTGAGTCGTTATGTCAAAGTGGTAATATTCCTGACTAACAAACTGAAGGTCGCCAGTTCGAATCCGAGCAAACTCGTTTTTTCTTCGTTGGACGTTAACCTTGCTGGGTTAATTATGCTTTTCTCAAAATGCTTTGATGGTCAGTGATGCGGATCCTTTTCTTTTATTATTTTTTTTTATAATTATTTTGCGCATGCCTTCATGGACAACAAAGCTGTAAGAGGTATACAAGTATGATTAATGAATGTAGCTATGTATTGTATTGACAAATGTATTATCTTTTATTTCGTAGCCTCAAGTGGGTAGTTTTACGCGAAAGCAAAAAAAAAAATCTGTATGTTGCGATTTCAATCCTCGTTAAAGGTTGCGAATATCGCCAGCATCGATCGACATATCTTGTTCAAACGCATGGTAGTTTGCAATGACGCTAAAGTGCAAGTCGTTATCCAAAGATTTCACCAATCCCACTTGCATCTCAACATCGTCAATAGAAATGACAGCATACTTGGGATCAATCACTCTCGGCACCCTTCTTGCAATTTGTTGTTCGACAGGCTCATTCATACGAACAAAAGGGACAGACCTGTCGTGAGAAGCAACACCATGATTTTTCATGGTTTCAACGAAAGCCAAAAAGTAGGTCGACCCATCATAGACATGTTGGAAAAAGAATATCACTCGCGAAACAAACCAACAGGAGACAGGGTGGTTAAGTCGATTGAGGTGAGTTGACCTAAACATGACCAGATGGTTGCTTCTACGAAACTCATGCATCTTCTCTCTGTATATTTCTGATCCTATGACAGTAGAACCGATTAGAGCACGATGGGCAACCTTGATCGTCATTGACAATGGACTGTTGTTCAGCCTTTGAAGAGAGAATATCCTACAATAGTATTTCGACAAAGCACGCTTGAATCTTGCAATTGGAACACCATGGAGTTCAGCACGATCAGTACCATCGAAGCCAAAATGATGATCCAAATTTGTCTCTTCTTGATCAGGTTCCCACAACTGTGAGCTTGTTAGAGATTCTGGATGATTGAGGTATGTGGTGGATGCATATGGCTGCGGTCGAATGCCTTGGAGGAACTCATTTGAGTCGAAGATCCTTTTCAGCTGGTTTCTGATTGCAACAATTTCAATCAAGTTGGAAGATTGCTTGCCTGTCCTTGACTTGCCAGTTATCAAATCACCAAACTTTCCAATGCTTCTGTAAAATGGATGATGTTGTTATGTAAGTAACTGGATGTGTGTGATAAACATAGCATGTATAGATGACTAACCGTTCTTGACTTCGTGAGGAGTAGGCTACAATTGGCCCCATTTCTCTTATCATCCACACTACATGTGTAAGCTGATGCATTACGGGACGGAAGACCGAAAGTGACAAGCACATGGCATCTCTCTGAGCTTTGCAGTAGTCAATGAAGAAGTCAATGCATTCATCAATCTCTGCCAACCTAGACTCAGTGAACTCCCATTGCAATGCAAGACAGACGCCTCTAACCAGCTTCATGATTGCTTTCCTAGCCTGTGGACTGGCTAATTCTGGGACAAAGAGAGTAGGTATGATGGTCTATTTCAAATCAGAATAATCAGATCCTAATTCACGCCTTACATGTGTACGTTTGCAGATTACAGTGGATCTGATCTTACCAGCAAATTATCAAGATAGTCAACACTGCGGGTGCCTCGTAGCTTCTCCACCAGATTCAAAAAGCTTCCATCAAATGCAACTGGTATATATGATCTTGTGTCCTCAATTGCTTTGCCAATCTCGAACAGCCGTTGCTTTGGAATGAAAAATGGATAATTTTCTCGCTCCAATTCACCATCTGGATATGTGTAGAAGAACTTTGTGTTGTTCGGAGACAGGTCGACAGTGAGCATCTCGAAGAGTTCTGAACCAACACCTCGTGCTAATGTATGCATTTCTTCGAATCCAAAGCATTGGGGTGCAATGCATGACGATAGCTGATTGAAAAGGCTGACACCGTTGAATCCAAGGTTGGACTCAGCCCTCTCGTAATCTTCATTCGTACGCATGCTTCCAGCATTTGGAAAGTACATCCCATGGCTGCGATTATCAGGGTGCATACCACGCGAAAGACACCAACGACAGCCATACTCAGATGCATGATGAGCACACTTGCTCCAGTCAAACACGGCTAGAATAAAGCAGGTAGGTAAATCAATTTCATGTTAGCCATTGTGGATGCTGATTAGTTGCTTTATCAATCAGGATATTTACCTGGAGTATCACCACCACAAATTAGAGGATGAACCTTCAAACGAATTGGCCCAGCATCATTTGTTTCGACTACCATTCCATACGTAGAAAGCCACTGGAGCTCTGCCAAGATGATGGAAATGAACGAGTCAAATGATTTGGGCTTCTTTTTTCCTGGAAAGATACAAAGCTCGTGCGTGTACTCCTCCTTGTAACGCTTGTGTGGATCGTAATTGAACACCATCAGATGAATAATTGTGAATAGCCGATCACCTCTCTTTTCAACTACAAAGCCATCATTCATGATCGCAACTGCGATATCCAGGTCATTTGTGAAATGCGTATTCTTGATGGACTTGTACGTGGCGCCGTCAAATACGTCAGCAATGATAACATCGGATGGATTCTCTTCAAGGTCTCTGTTGTCGTAGGCATGTCGGTACCGAAGCTCCTCTCTCGTTATTGGATTCGCAACTAATCGTGATACGATGTCTCCAATTGACATGACTTTCATTGTTGACAGGGCTCGATGATCTCCCCGTGCATCGTATCTTTCATGGGAACAAATATTACAAATTGTCTCCTCGTCGTCTACTTCCAATGCGTACAGCTTGCAGCCATTGATACACACATCATATTCATGGGATGTCAACGATGATTGGCGCTGAAGCATGCTTTGCACACGAGGGCCATGCATGATCTCCGGATTGCTTTCTATCAGTTCATGGGGGGAGGATCGGAAGCTGGTGAGTTATTGTATAAATGACATGTCATTGCAATGCGAATTACCTCGACTAATTTTTTCTGTATCTCTCAAAACAGTGTTCATCAACCTGACCAACTTTCTGTATGCATCCCGTGGTATAGCAAAATCATTGACGATATCATACAGCTCAATCGAAACCAGTTCTGTGGTTGTATATGTATTTTGGTTGATGTCTTCGAGGGATCTGCAATCGTAGAAGCAAGCCTGATCTTCTGCATCTGGGTCGACTACTCCAACTGTCTTGTATTTGACATTTAGCAAATCAAATTCAAGCCCTGGTTCTTCTGGATTGTCTCCTGTTATCGCATGTGTGGAATCCGCTATTGTGAGTATATACATCTACTTTAGCGCTGCAATTCCTTACCATTATTATCGACAATAGGCAGCAGATCAGCAGCACCCGGCGTCTGTTCAAAGCCTGCGTAGTCATAATCAGCATCGTCAGCAGCAGGAATCATTTCTTCAATATCACTCATGGCATCATCATCATGCAGCTGGTTTGCATGATCTGAATTGGCTGTGACTAGCGCACTGGGGGGAGATTGTGGCTGTATCAGCGTTGTTTCCACTGGAGGTTGCTCTTCCATTTCAACATCTTGATCTTCATTCAAAATGGGAGCACGACAGTTTCGGCGATGGTTGCGTAGAGCACGGGCACTGTCAAAGCTGGTATAGCAATCTGTACAGAAGGATGGCTCTGTTTCTCGTGATATACGGATTGAGAATGACATGTTTGGAGAAACCAAGAAAAATAGGCAAGTAAAAACAAATTTCAAGTGGCAGCTTTATATACTAATTCAAGTTTTATTTGCGCTCGCCAACAAATGCGTTTATCATCGTTTACAAGCAAGTGATACGTAGTCTTGCATATAACGTTTGGTAACTCAAAGTCCAAGATCAAGTAAGGAACGTGTTTCCTATGATGTGATATGTCGCCTCAGGCTACTTCTACGTCATTTCACTTTCAACATCATGTCAAATCGAGTGGTATTCACTGTGCACATATGCTTATACTATGGGCGTACAATGAGGTCAGCATTACTTGCATGAAGCCTGTGAACCGAATGACGTTCAACAACGTG